AGATGTTCTTTATGACGCGCCAAGTCTCTGATCCGTATAGTAGCAATGACTTCACATTGGAGTTGAAAATCCGGATCTTATTTTTGATGCTGAGTACTGGTGACCTCCACACAGACTTGAGAGTACTGAAAGCTTGTCTTGCTTTTCCGATTCTTGCTTTGATATCCTCGTCAGTTCCGCCTGTAGTTGAAACGATGCTTCCCAGGTAGGTAAAAGAGGTTGTTTCTTTCAGGTTCCTCCCATTTATGCTGATCGTTGTCTGTTGTTGTTGTTCTTGTCCAGGAATCTTCATCACCTCTGTTTTCTCTATCTTCACCTGAAGTCCTATCTTATCTGATGCTTCTTCTGCCAACTTGTTGCTTTTCACTTGCATATCTTCCAGTTTGTGGGAAATCAGACATATATCATCGGCGAAATCCAAATCCTCCAAGGCTTTTGTGTCGGTCCATTTTATGCCTGTTCCCTCGTTGGTTGCCGTTGTCTGCCGCATTATCCAATCAACTGCAATCAGGAAGATCATTGGTGACAGTAGACAGCCTTGTCTCACTCCCGTCCTCACTTCGAAGGATTCCGTGAGCCTCCCGTTGTGGATTACTTGGCATGCAGCGTTGTCATACAGCTGTTGGATGAGATGTATAATTGTCAGCGGCACCCCGTAGTAGCGAAGTAGTTGCCAAATCACCTCTCGATCGACGCTGTCGAAGGCCTTTTCAAAGTCGATGAAGTTGAGATAGAGAGGTGACTGCCATTCCAAACTTTGTTCAATGATAATCCGTAGGGTGGCGATTTGGTCAATGCATGACTTGTTTCTCCTGAATCCGGCCTGTTCCGGACGAAGTTTTTCATCTAGGGCTTGTTTAATTCTCTCCAGGATGATGCGACATAGTATCTTGCTTGGAATGGACAGAAGCATAATTCCACGCCAGTTTTTACATTGACTCAAATCTCCTTTCTTTGGCAGTTTGAATAAGTATCCGTTCTTCCAATCCTCGGGTACTTTGCCCTCTTTCCACACCTTCTCTAGTAGTGGCGTCATCAAGTCCGCTGTTGTCTCTGGGTCTATTTTCAAAGCTTCTGCTGGGATTCCATCTGGTCCTGGCGCTTTCCCAGCTTTTAGCATCTTGATGGCATTCAGGACTTCGGATTTCGTCGGAGGGTCGATGTTCATTGGTAGTTCTGCTTCCGTTGTTGGTATTGTTGGACGCGTTGTAGGTGGCGGACGATTTAGAAGTCTTTTGAAGTGTTCAGCCCAGTGCTTCCTCTGTTCCACCTCTTTGGTGATTGACTTTCCATTGTCGTCCTTTATTGGCTTAATCTGTGTCGAACTTTTGCCCGAAAGGTGCCTAGTTGTTTGGTATAGTGTAGCGAGGTCTCCTTTGCCTGCAGCTTGTTCTGCTTCGTTTGCCATGGTTTCACAATATTTTCTTTTGTCTTCCCTGGCACTTTTCTTCACTCTTTTGTTCAGTGCATTGTAGCTTGCACTCAACTCCTGTTTCTGTTGCTCGTCGGTGCACTGGATAATCTTTTGTTTCGCCACCCTTCTCTCTTCTATTAGTTTCCAAGTGTCCGTAGAGAGCCACTGTTTGTCCTGTCTCTTTTTTCTGCCTAGGACTTCCATGCAGGTTTGACTCCACACCGTTTTCAATTTGTTCCAGTGCTTTTCGACGCTGACCTTTTCGTTGGTGTTGATTTGTGTCTCGGCTTTTTCCCTTATGTTTTCAATGAAGATGTCCTTTGTAGCCTGGTCCTTCAGCTTTTGAGTGTTGAACTTGGCTTGTGGTCTATCTGCAGCTCCTGTTTCCCTGAAAGCTTTTAATTTGATTTGGATTGTCCCTTGTACGAGGTAGTGGTCTGAGCCAACGTCTGCTCCTCTTCTTGCTCTTGTGTCCAGTAGGCTGCGTCTCCACTTCCTCGATATTGTGATAAAGTCAATTTGGTTTTTGGTTCGCCCGTCTGGTGACACCCATGTAGCCTTGTGGATATCTCTGTGCTTGTAAACACTGCCACCACTCACTAGTTCGTTGAAGGCGCAGAAGTCGGCGAAGAGTTCTCCGTTTTCATTCATTTCTCCAAGAGCTTCTCTACCCATGATGAGTTCTCTTCCTGTATTGTCTGGTCCCAGTTTGGCGTTCATATCTCCCATTAGTATTTTAATGTCGCCAGCTGGAGTATTGTCTATTGCTGCCTGTAGTTGTCTCTAAAATTCTTCTTTCGTTTCGAGGTCTGCGTTGTTGGTGGGTGCATAACATTGGATTATTGACACTTTTCTTCCTTTGGAGTTGAATCTGGCGGTCATTATCCTGGACGAGATCGCTTCCCATTGCATCAGGGCTTTCGTTGCCGTTGGTGACATCATGATAGCCACGCCCTCGGTGTGCGTGTGGTTATCTTCTGGGTGACCGGAGTAGATCACTGACTCTCCCGTTGATAATTTGGTGAGTCCACTTCCATTCCATCTGCTTTCACATATTCCCAGCACTTGGATTTTGTATCTTTTCATCTCGCTGGCGATCTGGGCAGCTTTGCCAGTCTCGTACATAGTGCGGACATTCCATGTACCCACACAGACTTTTTCTTTTGTCGCAAGGAGATTGCTCATGGTGAAGTTTCTGTAGCAGGTTTGTTTACAGGGTGGGGTTGCTGGCCTCACGCCTGAGTTTTGTCTTCGGGTACCTGAAATGGAAGAAAGGTTAGTGTTGCGTGACCGCAGAGCCCAGGGGACATCTGCTTGAGGCCGGTCACACGCGGCCTGGTGTGTCTCAGTAGTGTACTTATCACTTCTGCCCTGTGACACGGCAGCAGAAAGCGCGGTCGTTGTTAATCCGGGCCACGGCCGATCCGGCATGATATTTCTTGGATTTGTTGGGTTCATGGTTTTGGATTGATGAATGATGGCGACTAAGTCCAGCCCCCACTGATACCGTCGCCAATGTATCAGTAGGTTGTGAGGTTTGAAAAATTTCGTTGGCGTCCGCAGCTACTGTCAACGGAGCTACTCAAGGAGCAGTGTGACGACCCAAGTTATCTTCTACTGATACCGTCGCCACAGTCATACCAGTGGAAGTCCGGTTCTTCTTCAAAATAAGTATATATAATTGTAATTGTACAATTAAGTGAATGAATTCGCCGAAAAGAGACTTCTAGCTGAATTACGTGTTTTCTTCTCATTAACTTCTGCTGCAATTGGATATATTATCTATGCTCTAAGGTAGTACAGTAAGAAGCGATGGATAGAATGACTGCTGTAGTTTAAATTTGTATTTGAAATTATGCTACATATCACTAAGATTCTTAAATTTATTAGAATGCTGACGAAAACTACACTTAGTTGCGTTGAATAATTGGCAGTTTGTTTATTTTACTGGGTTACCTAAGTTTCTGTCCAGAATAATGAGTCAAATTTTCTCGATTTCTTATTACTGTAATCACTCAATCATATTGCTGGGTAGCAAAATGTGCTCACGTACAATTTTAATTGCGCTTCAACCTGCTATTATGCATTTCCCGAAGGCGATGAAGAAAATGTGCATCATCAGGGATTGGTTTTGCTTAAGATCGAACAGCATTGAGTCACGCGATACACTGGCGACCAGTATTTTACTCGAAGAACTGTATACATTGAGCAATAAAATGCCCTGAGAATTCAGTACACTGTGTAAACATTTTGTTCAGAGTAAAGCTTTTAATATTAATATTCTACAACGGTTATTCTCCTTCACTAGAAGCTATTACCAATCAAACAGACATTAATCAGTCATCCACTTCACTCTCAACCCTGATTGCCCATACACTTATGCTCAACATTCTTAGATGTATTAATTGTACCTAGGATATACGGTTGTTTCGTAGATCTAGTTTAACAAAGTAGACTCTAAAAATCACACTGCAATTACATAGACTTTTGTGATTAATAACAAGCCTTTTAATCTGTAAGACGAACGTCTTTCTCATCGGGGAGATTGAATATGACATCGATTACCTCCACAAGCGGTTTATGATTAAATACGATGACACAACATTCAAAAAAGACTGAAAGTTTGTTGCTAATACGGAAGAGTATTGACTTGAAATCTGGTAGTATGTGTCCTGCGATATGATAAGGTATGTTATCGTCCGATTTACACACAATTATTTATCCGGGAAGTATCACAATCTTTAATCTCCCTGTTTTAATCGAATTGTTACAGTCATCAAAGATCTCCTTCGAAGTAGCGCATGGTTTTATTAATGACTCCATTCATGGTTGTAGGATGAACACATCAATATAATTCACATAGAAGGCTTCATTCCCAGTTTTCGTAACACAACTAAACTGCTAATACCTAGTAGTAATCATCTGATTGTAAAAGAACTCGTCAACTTGTTCACGGTGTAGATTTAGCAGCGAACCAGTAACTGTAGCAGAGCCAATAAAAAGAGAGAAACAATCGACAGTTATCTCATCCTAGTTTAGGGCTCTTCTACATATATACCTAGCACTTGGGAGGTTATAAACCAAGTGCTGTCAGATTATGAAACACGTCACTGTTTTGTTGACAAGGTAAGAAATTAAAATCATATTCCTAAACGAGTGAGTTAAACACTTTTGCAACTACACGAGCAAGCCTGGAACACACACCAGGACAGTTATGAGTTTTGGCTTTAACCATCCAACATTAAACAACTCATTACGCCATTGAGAAACATGCACTGAAGGGAACACTACAAACCTGACTGGTAGAGTTATGCTAATAGCACATAAGATCAGACATAACACTACACACTGTGAGATTCATGTACCTTAAAGATACTAGTTATTTAAACTAATAGAAAATAGGATCAGAAACTTTACCTTGAGGAATGTCACAATTTTATACGCAAATTAAGACACAGTAGTGACAATTTTTAGAGACTACATACTACCTCTTATTTCACTCAATATGTACTTCACAACTATGTAATCTGGACACAAAAACCCTCTACTGAAGCCCAAACGATGTATGTTTCCAGTTAAAATACATTTAGCGAAATATACCTTTATTAAATTTAAGTTTCATAACAGTATATATGAAAAAAAATTGGATAAACGAATACTCTGTATAACAATGGTCAAGATTCTTGTCTTATTGAAGGATTGTATTGATCTAGTTTATGTACGGTCTCCTGATAACTTTCCAATAAGGTGGCTACTTCTTCTTGCAGTTGGGTTTCGAAATACTTATCAGCAATTTCTTCACATGCTTTTTTCACTGGATTGAAATTAGAACCACATGGTTTCGGCACCGGAGAAGAGCCACGCATTGCATTTGGTCGAACTCGCTAAATTGATATGTACAAAAGTGAAATTAATCAATAAAAAAATAGCCACACACATTCAAAAAAGTGTGTCAAACCACTAAAATAGCAGAAAGTTATAAGTGTAAACACACTGAGTCTGAGTAGCAGTTTATATATATACATATATACAGTTTTTCATGTTATGAAATTCCAGAGAATACTGTTTTCATGCTTTCACTTAAGATGCTCCATTGGAGACAGAATAATATCAATGAGGAATCAATAGTAATCCAAATTACAAAATCGTGGAAAGAATTGACTATAGCAGAGGAATGAAACAAAGTAAACTATTCTAGTAACAGAGTTATGATATAATCAACGATAACAACAAGTAACAATTAGACCCGAGTCCTGTTAGTGCTAAAAAATACACCCAAAAAGGCGTAGTTATCTGTGCGTACAATTCATCAGAAAGATATACTTATATATCCATAGATTAAAGCTGTCAATGGAATAAGAACTATATATTGATTAAAGTGTTCCCACTGATACAAACCAATCGGATAATTCATAAATTCAATTTTTATCCATTTTTAACACCAAATCAAGCTAGCAGCACATGTTATCAAGCTGTTAAGTTTTAATGAGTATGGCGATACTGAAATGCGATTAGCAGCACAAATGAATGCCAAATATGATTATTCGCCCTCAAATACCTTCTGCTTTCACTAAGCCGAAAAATATCAGTAGATAAAGATTGGCCTTAAGGACACGAAATTACTGCGGTTAAATAACTAACCTGATTGGTTGTATAATGTCGAAGATTTCTTATGAGGACAAAGACTGTCCAACAAAACTAACATCTGGAAGTGATAGCATAAATCGAATCGTGAAATACAAAATCTACTTCAGCAACCAATGGCTTGAATTGTCAATTCTAGTTTCAGCCGTCTCTTATCACAGTCGTTCGAGACAGTTATTCACTAGAATATGGGTAAATTCAAATAAGAGTTACAAATAGAATGAACAAAGTGCCCAGGACTTTAACGATAACCACTGACAAACAGTTACTGTCATAAATCTGACTATTAGTTTAAAAAAAATTTAGGAACACATGAATGTTTATCTATAAACTAAACAAGAGTACAAGATACCTGGAAATGAGCTGCAGTGCGTTTAGTAAGTGCATCAGAAAAGGATTTTACACATTCTGGTGAGCGAGGCAACAAAAACAGTCGAAGAATCTCATATACTCTTCGACTCTGGTAACGATTTAACTTCAGCTTTGTTCTCGCTAATTCTCGGAAGCGTATTGCAGATGATTTTTCATCATTACTTTGTCCATTCTTGATTTTATTAAGGTGTGAGATAGTCTGTATTACTTCCGGAGTTTCAAGACAGCGTTTGCAATCCAAAAAGTCTCTTATACTTTGGAAGTTAGGTGATGGATCTTCAACTGTAAAGATATGAAGAAAGTAATAAGGGAATTATATACGTACGACTCTAACGACAATTAACTACTTAGTGATTAAAAAGTTCTCAACCTAGCATACACCTACAATTTTATTCATTTATATTTCAACAGGTTTTGTCATGAGATACAAAGTTTATCCATGAATGTGTAGTAGTTTGAGATTAAACAAGTAATATTGGGAAATAACCACCAATAGGATTATTGCATCGAATACCTGGTGACTAGTTTTGGACACCAGATGACTGCTTAATATTCTTTAAAAGACTTAACGTTAAAAATTTAGCGTGATTCAAACCTAGATCCACCAGCTGAGGTCTGTGCAGCCAGGTAATGAAAATAAAACATGTAGTTCAGAGAAGTGGCTCATTTCGGCGAATTCACTTTCTTTAACTGCGCAATCATATTTTTATACATTTTTTCTCACGAATGAGGGCAGTAACATAAACGATGAGTTGTCACAAACATAGTTTTGAACATTAGCCAATGCATACGAGTTGAATAAGTATACTGGAGTTACGCAACAAGATGGTTAATTTAGTGAGTTGTAATCAGGATGCACATAGAAACGAAGGAGAACCTAGAATTAGGTAAGTCATAAAGAAATACAAGAGCTAGAAAAAAAACAAAAATCAAGTCAACACTTTTGTTACTGCCCTCTTTCGTGAGACAAAAATTGTATGTAAATGAGGCTCTACAGCTGCAGAGAATGAATTCACCGAGAAGAGCTTCTTCGTTGAACTACATGTTTCGTTTTCATTAATGACTGGATGGGGACTATTCATGAACTAAAAACCAGCCAGGTAGCATCACTGGCTCTCACACAATGGGTGCATTTCACTGCCAGCTGTATGTAAATGCCTTTGGTTATTAAATGATTCTTAATTTCTTCCATTGGATATGCATACTTATGTACTGATGCGGTAAGAGATGAAATTGCCAAGGTGCACGCCATTTTATGTAGGACAGTCTTCCTTCCGTACATGTCGATACTCATCTTTAAAAATATTTGCCTGTTTCGCAAGCAATATAATCTTTATCTGATTAAAAATCTGTTGGAGAGCTATGAGGAATATCAATATCAACTCAGCTAAAAATATCAGGAAGAGATTCCAGTAAAGTTTCAGACACACAGACGGAAGAGAAACCTAGAAGAATGCCCACTTCAAATTTATGGAAAGAATATTATAGGATAGCTAGTAGTACTGTCCGTAAACAGTAATTATAATAGTTAATTTCAGCATACCATCTTAGATCACAACTCTTAGTTTAGAATTAAGACTCCTTGCTTAGAAAAGGTACCTACTGATTAGAATGAAGGCTGTCTCGGCAAACTACCAATCTACGGCAACTTCGGCTTCTGCAAGAACTGGTGTGGAATCATGCTCTTATACCCCAAGAAGTAAAATACTAAGCTGCGACATCTTGGAGAGAATAAAAGATGCACTGGATACAGAACCCCACCAACCGAAACAAGCTGGATTCAGTAAAGGCAAATCATGTGCTGATTGATTCCAAATCTAAGCATTCATCGAACGAAGCACAGAATGACAGTGAAATCTCTCTCTATGTCAATTTCATCGACTGTGAAGAGGTCTTTGACTGCGTTGACCGCGAAGTAATTTGGAAACTCCTTCAACACTATAGAATGCAGTGTCCGAATATTTTGAACATCATTCAACAGCTGGCTATATGGCAATGCCACGTGTCAGGTGATCCACAACGGAAAACTCAGCAAAGACTTTGAAGTGAATACACGAGTAAAACAAGGCTGTCTACTACCACCAATAATATTCCTAATTGTGATGGACTGGATCATGTGGCAGACCGTGGGTAGAGAAAAGGCAGGAATACGATGAACCACCGATAATAAGACTAAAAGATCTGGATTTCTCGGATGATTTATGCCTAATATGACATAGACTCGAAGACGTGTAAGCAAAAACCAACAAACTAGCTGCAGAAGCAGTGAAGATAGGAGTCTAAGTGAACATGGACAAGACGGAAATGATGACAGTAACCAACCAACAGCAACAACAACCAGCACCAATCAACATCAACGGGAGAAGTTCGAAACAGGTCACTTTCTTCAATTATCTAGGAAGCTTCTTTTCAACAACAGGCGGCCGCACAGATGATGACGAAGCCAGATTCGGAAAGGCGAGATAAACCTTCATCACTCTGAATTCAGTTTGGAAATCTTCTGCACTCAGCCTCAGGAACAAACTTGGGATTTTCAACACAAATGCCAAGTCAGTTAGTCTTTCTATATGGGCGAGACTTTCAGTGCGTGTCACGAAAGTCATTTCCAACAGGTCACTGCGGACTTTTACCAACAGCTGCCCTCACAGGCCTATATTGAAGATGGAATCACCAGCCAGAAAGAATTAGCAACAGGAAACTCTGGGGACGAAAGAACCAATCAAGAGGCTTTTGCTCAACAAATATGTCGAAGGATATGGAGATGGAATGGGCACACACTGAGGAGACCGTCGAATGACATCGCGCGTCAGGCCATCGCTAGAGTGGAATCAATCCGAATAGGAAACGACGAGTTTTCCTGTGACCCATGTGTGACATGGAGAAGATCGCATGAAGAGGAGATGAGAGCTTATGGGCAATCGTACGGCCATCTGAAGAAGACCGCAGAGAATAGGATGAAGTGGAGATGTGCTTCTGAAGCCCTATATTCCACTCGGAACTGACAGGACTAATAATAATGGAGTAATATCGATGAAGTCACTTTAAGTAGGTAAAAGCAATGTAAACGGTATAGTCCTGGGAGTTATCATTGTTTAAATTCAACTAAAGGCACTCAATAATTAGAGGTCGCGTTACCAATAAAGAATATGGTGGATTATTCATAAAATGGTAGAAATATTCGTGTAAAACGTTAATTATTGTGCCGATAACACTGTCTGAAGTATTGTTAGCTGTAGGCGGCTCACTACAGCAGTTAGTATGCACTTAAACGTGCAAAGAAGTATTATTACTTCAACAGTAAACAGCAGCAGGTAATTTCAGTCCATACGCTGTTGGGAGCCAGAACAGTGGCAAAATAATTCATATAAAATTGCAACTTAAGCATGCAGGAGCTGAAGACTAGAGTCATATGGGTCAGTGAGATTATAAATACAACCATCACGGCATTCTCATTATTTCTAAAATTACAAGACTTATTGGCGCTGTAGAGGTAATCGTTGGGATTTGACTATTGACATGAAGGGAATATTCCACAATTGGCCCTAAGAATATGCCAAAGAGAAAGCATGAAGTTGTCTGTGAAGCATTTATAGGGCTCGATGCCAATAAGGTTTTCAGGTATTTTGAGATTATTATTTTGATTCGTCAGATATTTACTCTCTTTATCATCATCCAGAAAATCAAATACTAGCTAAAATGGCGAGAAAAGGAGTCAATGGACAGCAGGGCAGAAAAAGGAACGAGGGGTCCTCAAGGATTAACTTGTAAATATACGCATACATTCGCTTTATGTAGGGACAATGATTCCTGTCTACTTACCAACTGGTTATGTTATGCTGACTTCTATAATGCCTGTATGATACAAAGTTTACGTCCTGTCTCTAAAAGTTTTCGTATGTTCTTCCAATAATACCAACATTGATTAGTGGAGTTTGTGACACTCATACACTTAGTAGAAAAAGTATATCTCTGTGGAGTGGAAAAGGTGTAAGAGTCAGACAGAAGAGAAAAATGTCATTTTGAGGAGCCTGGTGACTGAGACGAATACTGGGAGTGTGTTTGTGTTACGCAAATTAGCTGGCGGTTTTTTCCCAACAACTGAAAACTCTGAAACTGAAATCTCTTTGCAATTTGATGTATGGGTGATTATCCGCGACTCTGCCAGCCATTTCAACTAATTTATCACAACAACCTGAGTTTCTCAGCATATTAAGAACCTATCAGAGACCACCATGGCCGAAGCTTATGTGATGAGACGCTGATACTTCATTAGATATTATTATGGTTTTCAACATACTAGTCGAATTAGAAATCTATGAAATGACAAAAAAACTACAACCATTTAATGATAATTGAAAATGATTTACTGATAATGTTATTTCTACTTCTTACTTAACAGCAAAGTACAAACACCAACCTCACCTGCAATATCAATAACATTCCACATGGGCACGAAATCGCGGTAGAATGTTTCTAAAAGTTGTGTGGCATGGCCACTGTTTCGAAAAGGTGGGAGAATCAGAATTTGGCTAACTCGTGGACGAAGATTTCTCGGATAAGCATAAAACTTGTAAATAGTCATATAACCAATAAAAGCATATTTCGATTTGCCGTCGGCCTTCGGGTCGACATTTTCGTAACTAGAAAATGAAGCCATTTAGAAAAAAGGTGGTGATTTACATCATATAATAACACCATTGAATATCATCAGTAGGTATAGCGGATGCGCCGTCTATGAAAAACAGAATGAAGGATTCCATTCGTTTGTGATACTCGAGAAATTCCTCAAAACCAGGCATACCATGTTCGATGAAAAATATAGAAAACTTCTTTGGACATTTGTCTGAAAGGTATATATATCAAATAATGTCTGACGCACCTTTAGCAATTTCATAACTGTGTCTATGGGTCCCATGTGGTGTGAAGTGGGACTCTTCGTCAATTTTCTTGGTGAAATCAGTAAGATCCTTACTGACATCATAAGTGTACACACTAGATAACATGTGCATAATATCATCAGGCTGCAACATAACAGACAATATTTATGTAATAAAACAATCTTACCATAACGCCTTTAGAAAGTTCAGGATTAACTTTCGACGAATAAGAAATATCGATATATGTAGATAAAAAGCCTGGTGTGTAATAAATATCAATCTTGAGGTTTCGGTATCCGAATATCTGCTCGCTAAGATTATCATGAACAACGACTTAAGATTTACTAACCTCTCACCAAATATCTGGTGAGTGAACTCGGGATTAAATCCTTGTACAGAATTTATAGCTTCTTTGTTATCAACTATTTGCAAAATTAAACAGATGATGAACTTGCCTAATTTAAATTGGATAACGTCACAAGCATTCGCACGATAGTCATCAAGAATTCTTGAACGCAAGTCCTCCATGTTATATACACGTCAGAAGCTAACAATTCATAACAGAAATACGAGATTATAAGAATTTAAAATGTTGAGTTATGATGATACATCAAAAATAATAACATATTTCACAAGGCTTAGACATTACGGCGTGCGTCACAGAAGAGGCAAAGAGAAGAAAGAAAAAGGTATCTAAAGAGCAACAGATGAAGCAACCTGTCATTTTTAACAAGTATGTTCAAGGGAATTTACATTGTATTACTTCCAATAATAGAAAATTGCATCGCAATCACAAAGGATTTCGATTCTGAGCTATCTGACATCTCAAGACACTGAGTCGCATGACCTTTTAGATCTTACCCAGGAAGTCGTTACTCACCAACAATTGTTAATCCAAAGCAACTTTCTTCCAACCCATGTCATCAGGTGGCCACCTCTCCACTAATTTCAACTAGTCTTAGAGCTGGCAAACAGTGAGCAGCATGAAAACGGATGGGCCGACATTCATAACACACGTTTGAGCTACTGAAGCCAATGTTCAAAGATAATATCACCTATTGTAGGACTTTCACTTTTGCTAAACATGCGTGACTAAACCTTACAACCAGTTGGAATGACACGCAGTGCTACAGAGATAGTGATGCACGAAGACAGTGGTTGAATATCCTCAACTCGGATAGCTCAGATTCCATATAGGTAAACCGAGATTGTATGCATCAGAGCACGCTGAACCTAACCTTCGTACGTAGAAGTTATATAGCGACGTCAGAAGTGACTCAAATGCTACATACTTTTCCATACATTACTAGTACTCACACAAGTGCGTAGATACACAAATTTTCTGATTACTCCCAACGCTTCGCCTAAAAGGTGAGTGAAAGCAAAAATTAATATTTCACAGTGTATTTGCATCAAGACTCCATCAGTACTTCATTCAGAGCGATGTAAATTTTCGAATGAGATGATGCATGTCTTCACCTGCTTAAATTCTTTTTTAATCTTAATGGTGCACATTGGTTCAAGAACACTATCTTACGTATTATAATAAGGGTAGTATCTTACAGACTATAAGGTATCTATGTATTTGAAAAAACTGAGAAAATTAACATAGTTTCTGAAATGACGGAGGTTTGAGGTTCATGTGGACGTTCTTTTGGTGTTGTGGTAAGTGAGATGATCGTACTGTAAAGTTCTTAATGTTCTATCATAAACACCGAAATGAAGCTGAGGACATAAAAAATCCAAGACAAATACACCCTGCTAAAATAATTTCATCGATAGGTGTACTAAAGTAGTAACTAGCACCTTAAAGGTAGTATTTCTGCCTCACATTGACTCCCTGCTTTCTCTTTTTCCGTAATTCTTCTATCAAACCCAGTAAGTCTAGTGACATTACACAGACTGGAATGTCCTTTCACCTAATTTAGTTTGAGCAAATAGTACTGCTAACTATAAATTCGCGGATTCCAAGCCTTGTCCTGTATATCAAAAGTTTATCATCCAAGCAATTTCCTAACCTTTACACAATAGATGATGTTATTAGTTAATTTGACGAACACTTATGTCTTTACAGAATCGGACTATTTACTGATTTATTACTGAATAAGCCTACAAAAATGATACTGTCGTTGAATATATATTTTAAAACAGCAAAATGACCGGATTAGTTATCAGCGAATAAAGACTGAGTTACATCTGTCCTCAATGGCCTTATATCTTTTGAATCCCAATCAAGTGACGGACGCCATTGGCAAACTGCGTTTCTGGAAGCTACGTGGACTTTCGCGCACCTAGATGCATTGTCTGTCTGTTTTCGACATAGAACTTTGCATCGATGTGCAGCAGTTCAATTCGCCACACTCCATGTAGCACACAAAGCAAGAGAAGAAAGTAAAAAGAAATGCAAAATAGAGACAGTAGACAGAGATATGAAACAAAAGGAATAGTAATAACGAAGAACAATATAGTTTACTTGGAAATTATAGGTCACAAGGAGTGGATGTATCTGCGCCATTGAAAGATTTTGAGCCATATCCAGCCATTGGTTTTTACCTTCCCGAGGACCCCAACCAGACAGTAGTCTACACCTTTCTACGTGACTGGCTCGCTTAAACTAACTGTTGTGGGTTTCATTGACTGATGCCATGTTTTGGTTTGACCACCACTAACTCTTTTCAAGCCTGACCCTATATCAGCTAACATTGCCCGTCGAGGAAGGCGATGGCTAGGCTGACTTGCGCAACACATGTCCTAATCATCTCAGTCGATGCAGCTTCACAGCCTCGTCGACTGATTTCCCCGCTTACCTAGCACTCGACCGATGCCTAACATCAGTACTGCTTACCCTACTATACCACTTCACATGGGAGATGGAACGCAGGCACCTATGACCAAAGGCAGCTGGTCTTTTCATGTCTCCCACTCTCAATGGCCAGGTCTCACAGCCACTAAGGAGGACGGAACAGACTGCTGAGTACACACACCCTTAAGTCGATAGCCATCTACGATTTCACATCTACGCCAGAGAGGGCGTAAACTGGCGTATGCGAAACGAGCCTTCTGTATCCGTGCTGAGATCTTGTCAGCGATCAACCCGTTGGGGCTGATGCACCACCCAAATAAGTGGTCAACGTGTTCTACTACTTCACTCCCTATTTCTAAGCCAGGAGTTAATGTAGTCCAGTCCTGTGGCTCGATACATTCCGCTGAAAAGCTAGAATGATGACCTTGGCAAAATCTTCACGCAAAAAAACACACAAAGCTTACGAAAGTACCGCAAAGCCTGGAATTTGTAACGCACAAGTACGATGAGAAGCTGTAGTTGCATCATTTGACCATTAGGAACTGCTTCAGCTCTTTTGAGGAACTGGTATATAGGAGGCCTGGTACCAAAAAGTGGTAGTACGTGAGGTAGTCTGGAGGCACACATCCTCTAATGAAGATACTGACAGAATGCAGCCTTCTAAACACCCTGAGCAGAAATCTCAGTTCGTATGTGATATAAAATAATGCTGCAGGACTGACTTAAACCGTCTCCTTGTCTAAGAATGGGTAGTCAAATTGCTGAGTGTGCAGACCACTTCACTAATTCGGGAAGTTGCATCAACCAAGGTAGACTAATTACCGAAGAAATCTCGACCCGAATATAAAAGTGCCGTGTGGCATTAGCCAACCTACGCCGTCTCTGGCACAGAGGTGATTTTAGGCTATCCACCAAAGGGTGTGTACTGAGTGGCAGTTTGCTCCGTTCTTTTGCAGCTGAGACGTCTTCTTTTCAAACGGAAGATATGGAGGGACTATTTGTCTAAGTATCTGTATTGTCTGCTGTGATATGGTATAATATGGCCAGTGATATTTAGATCAGATGTAGTGTTAAGTAAGGAGGGGAAGTCAATCGATGAGGTTGTGAGACTGCAACGACTAAGACACCTGTTACGTATGTCAAACCATCGCTCTCTTTATTAAGCAAAGTAAGCTGCCACAAAATTAAGTTGGAAAAAAGTTAGTCGTAGTCAGATCAAAAAACGTCACCAACCCATGAATATTTTAATTGTTGTTCTGAACAAAGTATAGTGTGCAGTGCCTGGTTAGCGTCATTCAGACGCTTAGAACCAATGGCTGGAGAATGTTGGTGACATGACCAGAAATTGTCTTTAGGGAGTAGATGCATTTACTTTTGATGAACTCCTAGATCTATTAATATCTCATTTCCCATGGAAAAATTCTTCCTTCAGTACATTTGCATTCATTAGAGTTTCTCAACACTTTCGCTTTCTTCACTTACATTTATGTGCGTGTTTCTGAAGTTTAGCATCTTGAGCTGCTGCTCTTTTGTAAAAAGCTCTACATTGAAAATTCAGACGGTTTAGTCTAAACGTATTATTCCACTTTAGCATACAATGTGGTACAAAGTAAGATGAGGTTAGCGGCTAAAATCTAACCCATAGTATTTGCCTATTACTTGGGAAATGTGAACTTGGAAATTTGTTCGCAGTCTGATCAACCAACAGTCTGCTAGTTTATATAGAATAGCTTAATACTGAGCAACGTTGCGTAAGTTAACTAATTGCCGAACTCTTGAAAATCTCGTCATTGTTTCCCTTATCTCATATTGGACTTATATTGAAGTCTGAAAGTCTTTCGTTTTGCTTGTTGCTACACATTCCACTGTCAAGAAACCAGATCTACCATGGATTTCAGCAATCCACAGGTTGACTCTAGGAAAATCACCCACCCCGAACACCCAGTCTGTAGAGAACTGGTGAACACATATCTCTTTGGATCAGATAACAATGTTTCTTGTAGTGAGAGTGATGAGATCTATTCAAGTTATTTAACAATAACTGACAGTTCCATGCAGTTGACAATGAGGCACAATTAATGTGTGAATGCTAGTGACTCACTCTGGTCACCCAAACCTTGGTAAGCGAAGTGTGAACGTAAGATCAACCAACTGGTTAAAAGTTGAGCCTACTTCAGAAATTACTCACTACAGAAAGAGTCAGTTTAGAATTTGCAAGCGATACTTCAGCAATATTTGCTCGGGTAGATAAAACAATCTCAGTCTTACAAAGCTTCAGCTAATAAGTTGTATGAAGTCTTGAGATACAGAATCGCATCACGTGTAGCTTGAGCCCCAGAATTAAGTTTACCTAATTAAAATAAATGAAACAGCTGATGCCAAATTATGCATCAGATGAAACAAACAGAAAAGTAAAACCACTTTATATTTACTCTAAGTACCTATCTGCCTTATGTTGAGAAAGTGTAAGACTCACCTGTAAGTTTCAAACGCACTCTCTTTAAACCTTAAGGTCAATCAACAGCACACTAAAACGCTCAGCCTGTCCACCTAAAGGAGTCAGTTGAATGACATTTTACTCCATCTTACAGTTGAAAGAATCACGACGATGAACTGAAGTAAGTCACTCGCAGTGTGTATTTCGGAAATATTATCCGAAATGAGGAGGGAAGACTTAGAAAATATCCCTAATATTCAGGTTCAGATTTATTGGTTGAGGATGGAAAACTTGGCGCCTATGTTAATCCTTTTCTAGTAAATTTCTGTGCTTGTCCAGACCCTTCTTGGATGAATCAGTTGAGTTTGCAGACACCACTTCTTCTGGGAGTCGGTTCCAAGAGTTTATGACTAGGTGAGAGAACCAGTATTCCACAGCAATTTTATTTCTTCTTGGTTTTGAACTCTCCTGCTATGTCCTCTAGAGTGTTCCGACCTGGTGGGAAGCAAAAGAGAGAATGGGTCAGGTCCCTAGTTATTATTAAAATTATAAACTTAGTTAAATCTCTCTGCCTATGGTACAATAGGGAAAAGAGGTATAAACTGTCTAGTCTTCCCTCTTGTGTTGAATTAGTCATGCCAAGAACCATGCGTGTCGCCTTCCTTTGAACCCTTTCTAAAATATGTGGGTCCCCTTTAAGACAAGAACTGGCTGCCTGGATATAATTTTCCAGTCTTGACCTCACCAGAGATGAATATGAGGAGGTGAACACGACCCTGGTGATTCCAGTGAGGGCTTCGCGAATTGCCTATAATGGTCTAAGACTACGTGCATCCACCACGCTATAGTGTGCTGCAGTTTTTAAATAGTGGCTAACTGTGACACCTAAATCCCCTCTAGTTCGTAGGAGCTGATGTTTGTTTGTACGATGCTCATGTTTGCACATTTTGCTACATTGATCAGGAGCATCCATTCTCTGGACCACTCTGACAATTTGTTGAGGTCCTTTTGCAACATCAGCATATCACTGTTGCCCTTCATCTCTCTCCAAATTTTTAAGTCATCTGTGTATAAAACCATAGGGGAGTCGGTGAGTAGAGATAACTTATTCATATACAAAATAAATAGGAGAGGTCCGAGTACCGTGCCTTGTGGCACTCCGCTACGCACTGCTGTCCAAGAGGAGAGTTTCGAGTTGATCCTAACCTTCTGCCTCATATCTACGAGGAATTCCCTGGACCGGTTTAGTAACCCGCCTTTGATACCAAGACTTTCCAACTTCATGAACAGTCTTTTGTGAGGAACTTTATCGAAGTGCTAGTGAGACCAATAGGCCTGTAATTTGTAGGGCTTTGTCTTGATCCTCCTTTGTGGATGGGGGTTACTATGGCATCGTTCCAGTCACGCCGTAACACCACATTTAGGAGAGAGAGCTTGAAGATGGTGGTTAATTGGCCGGCTATGTAAGCTGATAGCTTCTTGAATAGCCTTGGATGAAGACCCATTGATTTCCGCGAATCTAGTCTCATTAGGCAGTTGAGCACGATGTCTTGGTCGATGTCTATGGGATCTATCCCGTGTTCTTCTGATGCAACCAGAGGGAGTGATATCTTCTGTGTAAAGACCTGGGAGAAGTAGTCTGCCACTGCTTCTGCTTTTTCTTGATCTTCTTCGATTGTGTCATTGTCAATAGTCAGGTTTGAGACACCACTGGATGTTTTATTCCTGAAGTTCATGTACGAGAACATTTTCTTAGTTTGTGCCTTTGCATTTTGAGCCAGATGTGCTTCGAACTTCATTCTTGATTGGCGCATTTCTGCAATAGCTTTATTCCTAGTAGTGTTATATAATTTCTTGGTCTAAGGAGTTTCAAGTGTGGCAAACAGGTTCCAACACTTGTGTTTACGTATGAGTAACTCATGAACCTCTCGGTTTATTCAAGGGGAGCAATCTTTACGACCCTTTGGGACAGACCAAAGGATGAAAGGTTCGGTTAATTGGGCGTAAATTTGTTTAAATTGGTCCTATGTAGCTTCTACTTGGGACTCTGGGTTGATGTGCCAGTTCAGTGAGTTGGTTGCTCAGACGATTGCGTTTATATCAGCTTTCCAAACGTTTGGTCGAGCTGGGATTTCGGCCCTTGCTGCCGTTGCTGGGAACTTGAAAGTGAGCATAGCATGGTCACTTCTTCCTAAAGGAGGAAGATGTTGTATGAGATGCACATCCTCACCGTGGGAGAACACTTGGTCCAGAGTTGAGGAGGAGTGCTGTGAGTCATAGCGCGTTGGCTTAATGACATGTTGGACTGATGCTAGCGAAATGCTAGGTTCCAGCAGTTTATGATCAAAGGAGTTGTCTGAAGATGGCGTTGTATGGCTCGTTCAGTCAACTGGGGGCGTTGAAGTAGCCGACCACGAGACTGAAACATTCCGAAGTCCAAGAGCCTAGCTTCTATTAGGAAGTTATCTGCGCTGCAGTCAGAACTGCGGTATATAGCAATGAGGTTTCGAGGTCATTAGACTTCAGGCTTTTACAAACTAAAAACCCTTAATCTTGAGTTTCGGCACTGTTCATCTAGTTCTAGGGTCACAGACTTTCTTTTGACATGGTCTGCTAGGCTTAAGTCGGTACGGTAAAATATGCCTGATCCTTTGAGAATTTCAGAGTTGCTCAGAGTGGCGTCTCCCTCTTCTTTAGAGCTTAGTACGACTTTGAGGAGGCGTACAGGCTGATTTATTGTAGGGTCAGGTATTTGGCCGATTCTATATGCACTGTGTATTGTTATGCCTGATACTGTTTTTGGCAGTAGCTTATCTAAAAGGGGCTTTCTTGCTCTGCGGCATAGACTTCATTTTGCCCTTTGTGGGCAGTGTGGTCTATATGTTTTCCTTATCTCGCTTTTTGCTAGAGACTACATTACGCCATTCATTGGCGTCCTACTCGCTAATCGTAGTCGATTTTATCTGCATGCTATGCGCCAGGGTGTAAAATGCTTGGTCTATCAGTCCCTGGGCAATTTCAGCTGCAGGTTCTTGACCCCCGGTAGGCCTCTCCTCCGCGGCCAAAGATTTGGTAGACCTTTGGGAGCACTGGTATCGCAGATTGAATATATGTGAATTGCAGCGTGTGTCAATGAGGTGAAGAATGAACGATCAATTCATGGTTGTTTACTCAAAACCAACTCCATATTTTGGCCGATAGTACAGTCATAGTTCCATCGTACGCTGTTCGTTAGAAGACGGAGAAATACTATCAGAAGTATTATTGAGATTAATTGTTGTGACATTTGTTCTTAGACTTTGTGTATCATAAACTTATTGTTGGTTCCATATTGGTGCAAGAATAAAGGATTCTCGAGTCACTGATCTGTGTTCTGTTTTTCCGCGTTGGTTATTGCACACTGTTGCTGAAGGTCTTCTAAGGACAGCGTCAAGTCCAGTTTAGTTAGACCTGGACACTGATAGTTTCTGATATCTCCTGGAATTATTTGCCGTATTTGTTGTCGATTCGTCTTTCCACGTGTCTGCAAGTTTTCTTTGGACGACTGTTACTGATAACTTTTCTGGATCGTTTGGTAACATTCAATAATGCCTGGGCCAAAGAAAGGACGAAGCGTTTTGGAAGCAGAGAGAAAAGTAAGTAATATTGAGTTGCCAGTTATTTGTAATGATGTGTATGATGCCTAGCATGATATGATTGATGTTCATGTTTCGCCGTCTAGTGATAGTAAGGGGTTTCAAACTAGCAAAATTTGAGCCTCGGTATTTTTACGGAAACCCACCTGACTATCCACGGTTTGTAAAGGAATTTGAAGTCATGTTGAGTGGTTTTGCAATAAATGACGAAATGAAGTTTATGTGTTTGTTGAGGTACTGCACTGGTGTTGCTGCAAGAGCTATACAGTACCGTAAGTTTATGCCCCCAAACAAAGGATACGCTGAGGCCATGAAAATATTGCGTCAAAGGTTCGGGAGGCCATTTATGATATTCAGGAGGGTTTTTGAGTTCGTTAAGGGTAATGGTGCGCAGTTTAAACGATAGCTCCGAGGAACTCGCAGAGTTTTTGGATAATTTAATGCTGTATAGAAATACTCTCGTTTCTCTTAACTGTGTGGATGAATTGAACTCCAGTTCTGTACTAGGGGCGATCGCTAATAGATTACCTGTTCGCTTACAAAGAAAGTTCATAAAAATCAGTTCCCATTTAGAAGAGGAAGATTTAGAGTCAGGTTTCGAAGATGTGCTGAGATTGGTGACAGTTAATCAGACTATGAGTAAATTCACCAGCATATGGCATTCGGCTTCTGAAACCGAGAGGTCAGCGAGAAAGACGAAGCCATTTGTGACGAGAGGTTCTCAAAGCAATGGACGTCCAGGAAAGTGTACTGTCTGTGGCGACGTACATATTCTTAGTGAGTGTGCTCGTTTCCTTCAAATGTCTCCGAAAGAAAGGTTACAAATTGTGAAAAGGAAATGATTATGCCTCTGCTGTTTAAAGGACTGGCACACAAGGCTTAACTGTGAGATAGCTGGGAAGGGTGGTAGTGGTTAATTTGGATCACATCCTCTGTCGACAGTATCGAAGAAAACAGAAAGATTGAGCGAAGAAATATTGACTTTTCAATTAGATCCTCATCTCTGGCTCTAATCTAATATATCTAGCATTTTTACTGCAATACACAACAGTTTACCAAACAAGCGGCAATATGTTTGTTAACAATAATTAAACAGTGTCAAAATGTCAACGAGTTGATAATTAACGAAGAAAATCAATACACATTTAAAAGGTAGAAATGGTCAGAATAAATTAGTTTTACAAGGATAACATGTAATTAAAGATGAAGTGGTCAAAATAAATATAAATAAAATAATTTCTACAGTTATAATTTTTATAGTTTTTAAAGGTTTAGGGGGAGGGGAGCGACGTAGTCTTGTCTTTGCATTCTTGTAACGATTGCCAAGGTAAGGAAAGCGGCTGTAGAAAATTTCTTCTGAACACATAGGCTTGTAAAGTATAATTATATTTCAATAGTTTACACACAATGATAAGTTTTGTTATTGGTAATTTTGCTCGAAGTATTACCAATAACAAAACTTATCATTGTGTGTAAACTATTGAAATATAATTATACTTTATTTGGTCTAATCCACAATGCTCAGACTTTTTACTGAAACATGGGCTTGTCTTCTTCAGGTGGATTTCGATTGCTTCAGCGGTCTGTAGAAGACGAACTCGTAGAGCAAAATTAAGATTAGTCGGAATGCGATAAATAATTTTAAATGCAGTATTACCATCAACCTTATGTTCAGTATCAACAAGGTGTGCTGAAATAGAACTACGAATAGATATTGTTTATCCCTTGCTTAACCATGTTGGATGGTTTCAGGAATACGACGGTTAACCACTTGATTTATATTTTCCGCGCTGAAATCAACTGAAACTCGAAACAATTACACAATTTCAATCACCTGGATGAGAGATAGACAGTCCGTTAGAAAAACGGCCCGCGGAATAACTCGTACGGTATCGTACGCATACAGTCATAGACGAAACTAAGCAGAATTTCTAAAACATATCGTATATTATATATATTTCCTATCTATGTAGGACACACCAGTTGTACAGGCATGGATAAGTATTATTTAAATTACATGAATTTGATTTATAGTGAAATTACATGGTTGCTGTCCTCTCTGACATCAGTTAGTGAGTACATTCTGATAGTTAGTCGTTCAATGGAGCACATAAAGAAATATAGAAATATTGTCTTCGCATTAACGAAAAAACCAAGTATGTGTCGGATAAATTACAAATATTTGGGAAAAAATAAAGCTTGAAGTCAATTCCTCCATATAACTTTGTTGTGTGCGGCATCGTATCTTGTTTTATGTTCAAATTGGGTATTAATTTAAAATGAGTGACCTATTTTTATGATTTTGACATCATTTTTATTGCAAGCAATACCAGATGTGAATTCAACTGAATGCAGATTAATATTGGTCATTGTCAAGCAGATTTGTTTTACTGCACTCAAGTCACCCATAGCCCGCCATTTGTCACTGCATGGTTGTTCCGTACGAGTAAGTTGATCAACACGTAGAAAGCTATATAAAAGCCATTTTAGATCGTTGACAGTGCTTGTATAAGATGCTGTGCAGCGTCTTGTTATGGTGACAGTGGATTTCATCAGGGATGCTGAGCCATTACTAGCCAAACCTTGAGGGATGATATATGAGTAAGTGACTTCAATTTTTTCTCAGCTTCAGTCGGAATGTAGATCAATGCAACTTGTACTGCAAGGCAAATACAATAGCGGTTAACAATTTTACCTGATTTTTGGTCCGGATCATTTTTCACTCCAGACTTTTTGCTGAGGTTTAATTTGAATTTTTAAGCCGAAGTTATGCATTTAAGCTGTAGGCTGGACGCGACCTTTAGATAATCAAGGGAATGTCAATACTCGACCTTTCTGCTCCCGAAAGATGCCTCGTATTTTGGGCAACCTACTCTTCTTTCAGTCACTCTATTTTCCCAATAGCACAATTACCTTTGAAATTTCAGGATAAGTATTTAAGTTTGTATATAGCATACTTTGTGTGACACACCTTTATCTCCTTAATTAGTGAAACTGTTAACAAACTTGATCTTCCAAACTTGTGAACACGCAAACCGTCTTCACTCTGCATGAGTAAGTTCGTTCCATTTTGCATTTAGTTACTTATCATCCCCACCTTTGTGTATCACAAACTACTTTACGATCCGTGACCAGGTGTCCAAACTTATATTCATTCGTTTTACTAAAATTCACATTTGATTCATGCTGTTTCGGCCAGAAAATGCAAAGACATGTTTTTTGTTCTCTGAGGCCGATTTCAATGAACATGGAGTAGGCGGTCCACGTTCGAGACAATTTAGTTTATCTGATATCCCGCAATACTTTTCAGGTCAGCTACATTGGTCAAACCAGTAGAGTGGGGGCAGTCAGGCTAGCCGAGCATAAAATGCAAGATAAATCCAGATTGGTTGACACAAACAGGATAAGAAATCTAGAGAATAGTTCAGCTATAGCACTACATGCAGTTACACACAACCATACAACAGGATGGGATGGGGTTAAAGTTTCAAAATCTAATGTCAAAGCGGGGAGAAAGAGGGATTGATAACAGAAGCTCTGTTTGTCGAATCAACTGCAAATACATGCAATAGGAATGATTCAACACCTGTCCCAGATATCTGGAAAATTCTACTACCCCTACCACGACAAATAAGAGAAGACAAAGAAAACTATAAAAACTCAGACTTCGAAGTCGTGTGTTTATAACTGAAATGATTATGAACGATAAATTTTGTTCGAAACGTCATCCAGTAAATAATACTGTTTCACAGAGTCATAGATATCCAAATGTCTGAGACTCGTAGACGACGACTCCAGATCCCCAACGACTAACTAGACGGACTTTAGGGCGCCCCTCTCAGACAACTACTTGGGACCACAGACTATCAGAAATAGTAGCTACATTAGCCCTAGTATAATATGTTGCGAGGGCTACGCCCTATGACTCACAGCATTCCTCACCAAACTTGGACTTGGTTTCCTTCTATCTGGAAGATATAGACCTCATATAACAACTACAAATTGTGGGGAGGAGTGATGAGGCTTCACTGTGTTTCAAAGCCAAGGTCACAGATGCATCGAAAGCCTAGAAAGCCTGAATGAACTCTATATTTTCAGTGGCCGAACCACAGGGCAGGCACGAAAGCCTATAATATTGGTGGTAGGCTACATGGAGCAAAATCGAAGAAAATTAAGCCCCGCGTGACCCAAGGCTTCATAATTTGGTCTTCCCCGACCGATAGCTGCTACGTTGACGTGGTGGTCGGGCTTGAATATGACAATGACCTAACAGGCTTCACCGGGTGATAGAGCGTGTTGACCACTTCACTTATTTGGGAAGTTGCATCAGCCAACACCAACAGGTTGGTCGCTGACGAAATCTCAGCACGGATACAGAGGGCTAGTTTCGCACATGTCAGTTTACGCCGTCTCTGGCTATCGACCAAAAGGCGTGTGTACTGCTCAGCAGTCCGCTCTGTCCTCCTTTATGGCTGCGAAACCTAGCCATTTAGAGACAAACCAACACAGAATTACACCTTTATCTATATCGACTTGTCTTCCATTTGGTGTTTACTTTTAGTTTAAACGGTTTATGAGATTTAAAACTAACTACCAACGTTAATGCTATGTTAAACAAAAAGCTTCACTGAAACAACAGAAACTGTAAAAAACAATCGCGAATTTCGCAAAATCGAAACTTTACTGCAACACACACATACTAACGTAAGAGATGAAATTTGTCGCTAAATCCTAGACAAATTCAAGAATTTTGGAAAGTTTTCATATTACCACATTCAATCAGATTTACGAAAATATTACGAACGATCAGGACCCACTCTCCTCTCATCACATGTCTAATAAATCGCGATACAAGTAGTGAATGAGTTTTACAGCTCTGTCGTATACACAGAGTGTCAAAAAAACAGGAAAATCACTTGATAACACTGGAAAATGTAACACTACATACCTGATCCCGATAAGCTTTTACACGTTCGCACCACAAGTCCCAATAGTGTAACAGGTCAGTCTCATTCAAAACAATTCGTGATGCTGGATAACCATCGCCATATGAATAAATCAGCATACCTTTTTTGACCTTTTTCAAAATGGACAACAATTAAAAATGTCTTACTCTGAAATTGTAATAAGACAGCTAAGCAACTATAGTTACTACTAGCATTTAAACACTTATAAATAGTTAATAAAAAAGTGCAGGTTGAAACATAGTATCAGGTGCCCAACAATTTCAGTTATTGATAATCTGATACTCTTCTAACTAAAACACATCCAAGTTTACTTGTCTTATGAGATAATCATAAACGCAGGTAAACAGCATAAAAAATTGTGGTTAAATAGTACCTCGGTTAACAAAAATTAAGCGAATTATAACCTACAAGTAATGTTAACAGTAAATCAGGGTTATGACTATAAATCTCCATTATATTTTGATCACCACACACGGCTTTGCATTGATTCTACTACTTATTAAGCATTCTAAATGTAGAAATATCAGATACACTGATTAAACAAATTGTATTATTATATAGCTGCAACTTCAAATTAAACCACCAGAAAGTATCTTCAATAAATCCCGTGTTTCCTTTTTCCTTTTTTAGAAGCTCTCTAAGAATTATTATTTTCGAATTAAGTAATTTTGGTTGGCCGGGAAATATAATCACCTTAAGAGTACTAGCTGCACACGCCTTACGCTGCTCTTTTAGTCACTATTGCCTACAAAATACATAGGACATATAGTGTTTTCGGGAATTTGGTCAGACTGTATACTTACAAACGTACAGATCACGCTGTTAAGGGCTTATTATTTGACTACACTGTGCAACACATTCCTTTATTTATTACAGTGAGTAGAACGTGAGTCAAATGATTATATGAGAAACTCCTGTATGGGTTTATACGCTATGTGACTACTCATACCTGTTAAATGGCCCCTGATGACATTTAGCTACCAAAGCATAGTAGGTAGAGCTGTAACACACTGATATATATATATACGCATATATACATATGCTTCCGCGGTTCAGGTACAGAATAGCCATCATCTATACACGTAGCCCAGGTCCAACTGCGAACCGGCACATTACTTAACCCCGCTTAGCCGGTGGTAAAACCATAAAGCAGGGGAGGTTGGGCGTCAGACTAACAACCTAACTCCGTGAAAACACCAGCGGTATTGAAACTTCAAATTTCCTATATCCCAATAGGAATGCAAAGGAATATATATACATATATATTCATATGTGTGATCTTCGAAGTGATGCGAACACCAAACGGTGGTGAGAAACAATTTACAATAAACGGATTTGCAAGCTGTGGACAAAAATTGAACTAGTTTGAAATTAAATAGAAAGATAAACTGTGAAAGAATATGTTACATCATATAAAATGCCAGTGAACAATGAGTGCGGAACTCAGTGCAATCAGCGCTACAGAATACATAATATTATAAAGTCCAATAAGTGATACTTTAACGATATAATACCTAATATGTAAAGCAAGTTACTGATTTTCAACTCTGTAATATCATACTTTCAAATTATGGACAGTAAACTGATTTCGGCATTACCTGCATACAGACTGTAATTGCAGGGGATATACTTGGCTGATACTAAACCGTGAGAGTGAAAAGTATAAAATCACACTTACAATGCAGAGATGTAGCGTATTGGTTTAGGCACTTAACTTTCAGTTACTTAACTCAGGTCTCAAATTTCTCTGCAACCACTATAGCTTAGCATCCTAGTCGTACCATAAGCCTTTAAAAACAAAAACAAACGTATTTTATAGATTAGTACTTGAAGATGTATGCCACATAGGTCAGATGCATTAACGAAACAAGTGAATAGACATTCTGTAAATAAATTACTCCTGAGTAATACTAAGCCTGTTGCATTTTACAAAATGGAAACTTACCAGTGGAGATGAAGGGTAACGTGTAAAATTGTAAGCTCCAATATATGCAGCAACTTGCAGTGGACTGTCGTAAGTCTGATCAATAGTTGTTATTCGTTTGCATTCATGCACTGTCTTCCACTCAGTTAAAATGGGTTCATCTATGTTTCTAAATTTCAAACCAAAAATATCACTCAGACATAGTTACATATGCCCTAAAAATTTAATTGACTTATACCCTAGAAACCATTTTCTGAATTGAATTTTCCGTTAATAAGTCAGCATTATAAAAAAATTACAAATAAATGCAACCAAACACCATATAAAAATTTATACATTCAGCAAACATCCACGCCTATTGTGAGGGTTGGTAACAGTAAAACAAATTTTGATGGTTACCGGCATCAACTGGTTAAAAGTAGAATGTGTTAATAATACATCACTGATTTAGTTTGCAGAAACGAAGACCACCAATGTAAACTGCATTTCCCACCACATCAACGTTGACGTGCCACGAATGTCATCCCAGAGGCTTCCACACCGGTCTTTGTTAGCTACGCATGAGACTGGATGGGAAGAGCGGAGACGTAGTCAACCTATGACGTCACTTTTTGGGATGAAGGATATTAGTGTTAGATCCGAATCGGTTAGTGCATCACCACTCCCTGGCTGGGGTCCAAGAGGTATTTCGAGTCGGTGGCTCAAAACGCAATCAGATATGGCCAAGAGTCACAATCAACGGCGAACAGGTTATTTGATCTTGTCAAATATACTTGCTTCGTTTCTGGATGAAATCATTTATTCATCCTCTCCCTATTTTCTTTACATACTGTTTTACTGTTGGTGCCGATACTGTATTAAATTTTGTGTTATAAATAAATAGATATATTGACATCAGATTGGTTTTTAACCAAGAAGAATCAGCAATGAACATTCTACAGAAGTTTCATTTCACGATACTGCACACGAAAATGACGACAGAGACGTAATAATAATAATATAATATATAATGGAGAGTAGTGAACACATCTGCACTACTGTGAAAGATTTTGAGCTGTCTAACTAACAGTTTCCCACCACCAATTCTTAGCGCTCTTACAAACCCAACCATGCAATTCACACCGTCCTACTTGGTTTAGATTAATAACTTTAAAGAGACGTGCAATTTTTCTCACTCTGGCCACTTCTCGCAACATTACCCACCGAGAAAAACGTCAGATTATGATGTGTAATGTATGTTCCAACTGTCTCAGCCGATGATTCGCAGACTAGAATAAAAATTAGATAGCGTTATTGTTTACGTCATCGGAATGTTTCAAAAATGCGATCAATGATAAAATTGTAACTCGGGGTCAAGATTAATAAGTTTTGGCAAGGATTCCTTGTTATGAAAGACATCTAGAAAAATAGGATTCGCAAACTCACTCAGTGATGTATTTCATTCACATAGGACTAACTTCAGTCTCAGCATTTCTTAACACACTGCTCCCCCTGATGTAAAACCTTGAATCAAGGCACCTATGGTCGAAAACCTGTAGAGTTCTAATTCTTTTTTCAGAAACAATGTTTCAGTTGAAAGGTAGAACAGTGAATTGCTTTGCGATACAAACCTCTAATGGATAGCCAAATATGTACGTGGTGTCTAAGGTGATCCCAGTGGGTATGTACCAAAGAAGCCTATGCGCACCTCCTACGATTTTGTCTGCGTCCATTCATTAGTGTTGATGAGAGTTGTCTAGCAAATGAAATTACCAACACTCCCTACCTGTATATTAGGAACTATTACCTTACATTTAGAAAATCCGTAGTCTACTCATCCAAAACATGAAACTATACGGTAATATATCTTTGGCACTATAGGATACTGATAGTGATAACACTTATTTACAATGCAGACGGATTCTTATGAAAATAATAAACATCTGAAAATATTAAGAGCCATTCAAAATCAAAAACTGGAAATCTAGGAAAAAGTAAAACTTTTAATACGTTACGAAATCCCCAGAACCACTTAGTTTAAAAATATAATCCTAGAAAATTCTATGTAATATAAACATTTCATGACACCACAAAACTAGAAATATATGAGAAAAGCAGGGAAACGAAGCTTACTTCGGAAAAACTATGCTATCGAACCTTCCGCGATACAAAAGCTGGGGATGAAGACAATTAGTTTCTACAGCAGTAGACCTTAAGTCATCCAAAATGTAGCTCAAACTCTCGCAATACTTGGAGATGTCTTCTGGCAGATTAGAAGGAAATTCACCCTTAAGAAGTCGAGCTTCAATGCTGGAATGAACACTTTTTCCTATAAGCTGAAGTCCTATCTAACAAAAACGTTTGTGCTTTAGAATTTACCTCGCATGTACTCCTGGAATCCATCTTCACCAAGCTCACTTTTTTTCTTTTCCTGCCATTTTCGTAGTGCAGCTGTACTCTGCAGGGATGCTGTTTTACTGAGTATGGTTGAAACTGTCGGAATACTTCGAAGATCTAACTGGCTTTTAAATTTATGTTCACATGCATCCCATGAAGCAAAAATAGAGACTTTATCAAGTCTATTAAGAACACAAGCGAAGCTTCGTCGACAGATATTAAACAAGCTAAACCGCATCAGTTTAACGTGTTGACTTACCATAATACTTGTGTTCTCCTGATAGTCATTCAGTGATAAATGCAGCGAAGTCCTGTTTGGAAACCAATAAGGAAAAAAAGGATGACAACACTGTGTCTGTCAGATATAGGAAGAAATGATATCTAAAAGGAAAACAATTTGCTCAAAAATAAAATATCCAAGTTATCAAACTATTGTTAGAAATTCAAACGAATAACGATTTAATATCACGAGCAGCTTGTTACTTCACATACCTTGCCTCAATCCTCGTCCTCGAAGCGAGAAAAACAAGGATTGTGGCAAATATGAGTACATCCTATTTTATTTTTCTTCTGCTATATGCAGCTTAGGATATCATTACCCATTTATTGCGTTTCGAGTGGAAAATGGGGTCTCAGCAGCACATCTAAATTTTATTCTATCCTCTACCAAATTTCTTAGCTGACTCTGAGACTAACTAAAAGTTTTACAGTTCTCACACAACATTCACTTTACTCCAACGGCCAGCCAATCCCGTCCCGTTCAGACCTTACTCGAGGGTCTACAATACGTCGTTTGGGGATCTGAAAATATCTCCGACCCATTTACTTCGCCATATCTGTTGAGCAACAGTTTCTGCCTATTAGGAGAAAACATCGCGGATTACGGGAACGTGTTCCTATTTCTATAAATTTCCTCAAAATTGCTACAAAAAGTTAAACTCATCTTTCGTGTGACCAACTAAAACCACAACCACAACATACAGTTAGCTGTGGACACAACTGTAAAGGCTGTTCATAACATCAAAACAAAATTTAGTTAGAGACATTGGATTTCTACTGCCCCATTTGAACTGATTAACGTAAGAAGACTGATTCCGGCGACCTCCGATTGTGATGAGGAGCGAAAGCTACTCAGATGTAAACTAACAAGAAGCCTTCATAACGGCCGTGAACAGTGGTGGGCGACAAAAGCGAAGGAGATAGAAAAGGTATCGGCAATAGGTTACACCAGACAACTATTTAGGCTCATTGGGAAAACAGATGGTAAAAGGCAAGTGATAAGTGAAACAATCTCTGAGAAAAATGACGCCATAATTAGCTGTCAGGATAGACGACTGCAATGTTGGAAAGAACACTGAGGAGCAATTTAGTTGGCCTACAGCCACGCTCAACTTACCCAGCACGCAACACCTCTCTGAATGGGATATAGACACACAGGGCCCCCGTCCCTAATTGAGGTTACAGAAGCTGTCACTGGTCTAAAACAAGACAAAGGGGCAGGACCTGAGGGAATGACTCCAGAGGTGTTTGGGGATAGCGGAGACAGTCTATTGTCTGCGTTATCTAAGGTACTAGCCAGCGTCTGGGAATCAGAGGAAGTCCCATCGGGTTGGTATAAGTCATTGAATATCCCGATATACAAGAAGGGAGACAAGTCCTCCTGTGATAATCACAGGGGGATTAGCTTGACTAATATGTTATCTAAAGTCTAGGCTCAATAATCATGCGTAGACTAAGCGGTGCTCAGGAGGAACAGACACGAGAGAACCAGGCAAGCTTTAGATCAGGAAGAGGGTGTATTGATCATATCTTTACCCTTTGAAAGATTCAGGAACATAGGCATATTTACCAGCGTCCAAAAGTCGTCATATGCTTTGACCTGAAGGCGACATTCGATTCTGTCGACCGAGAGGTACTATGGTAATGCTTGGCTTTAAAAGGAATGCCGAGAAAATACATTGCACCGATCAAGGCACTCTACTCGAACTCATGCAGTTAGCCAGGTAAGAGCTTCCGGCGAGTTGTCATCTGAAGTGGTGACAAGTAGTGGTGTCCGTCAGGGATGCCCATTATCCCCATTTCTGTTTAATTTCATCACAGATGTACTAATGGAATTAACCCTAACTAACTTCAGTGACTCAGGGATTGAATTGTCTGTTACAAGAGAATAATCTCAATAACTTAGAATATGCAGATGATATAGTCCTCCTGGGCAAAGACGCTGACAAAATGCAGTCTTCTGAACACTTTGAGCAGCAGTCTTCCGAAGTTTGGCATGTGATTCGCTCCTGCTGTCAAATGTGTAGTACCACTAAAACAACTATAAACATGCGATTTTAATCTAATTTGCATACTCATATTATATGTTTACACATATCGATTTTATATGTACTTCGTAAACATTTGTCAATTTACTGTTGAACGTTACCTTGATGCAGTTTCGAAATTTGACTACTGCTACAATACATGATTATACTCTTCACAAGTGCCTTCTGATTTTACGTTGTGGGCGTCGAGTAGCCACAACGTTTGCGCACACTGATAAACGTGAAGAAGTACTAGGAAATACGTGTACGCTCATTTAGTCAAATAGAACACGCAACAAATTGGTGAGCCCGACGACAAATTGCTGACCCCGACGACAAATTGCTGACCTCGACGACAAATTGCTAACTCCGACGAATTTTTGACCTCGACGCGTCATTACACTTGCTGGATTATTAAAACTCTAACTTTCGCGGATCTATATATTTATTAAACAATTCGAACTAATTCTTGTGTTTGCTTATAGCACAACCTGCAGTAATTTGTGGTAAGCACCTGCATTGTATGCTTCTTTATTTTGCCGTATTCTTATTGTGCACAAATTTTGCTATTTTGTTACTCTTGAACCATTTTTTTACGAATTGTAACATGTCTTCCAATACCTCTGATAACTTAGGGCTGGGATCTGTTGGTACTATTTCTCTTACTGTACCAGTTTTTAAGCCCAGAGACCCTCATCTTTGGTTCGCTCGACTGGAACATTATTTGGCTAGCAATAAGCTCACATCACAGACAGCTAAATTTGGCATTTTGAGTACAGTACTACCAGACGAAGTCGCCGAGCAGGTACGGCAATACATCGTCCAACCCAGCACAGAAACGCCTTACGACAAGTTGAAGGAAGAGGTACTGCGATGCACTTCGCTTTCAGATAGGAAAGCACTCGATCGCCTGTTAAGCAATGTTGAGTTAGGTGATAAAACCCCATCTCAACTCATGAGGCATATGCGAAGGCTAGTTGCCGGAAGAGAAATCGATAAACGTCTCTTTTACCAAATATGGCTACGAAGACTTCCCGCAAACATCCAGCAGGTTCTTGCTTTCGGAGACGACGACATTGACATAGAAAGGCTCACCGAAATCGCGGATCGCATGTACGAGAGGTCAACACCTCAATCTGTCGCTTCCACTAGCAGAATACCAGACACTCACGATAGAATACAGACTCTAGAACACAAAGTCGACACCTTACTGAATCAGTTAGCGAAACTGACTACACGCACACAACCAAGCCGTTCTAGAAGCTCGTCTCGTCGACGTCTTTCTCGATCCCCTAGCACGTCACGACATCGCGATAATATTTGCTGGTATCACCGTAGTTATGGAAGCAATGCACGACGGTGTCGTTCACCTTGCAACTTTCAGACTAAACCGAAAGATATATCGTCATGTGTGAAAACTACTGTTGGCAACCTACGATCTAACAGTCGTTTGTTTTATGTAACTGACAAAAATACCGGTGCTACATTCTTAGTCGACACAGGAGCAGAGGTGAGTGTTCTCCCTCCGTCTACACAGGAACGTCAACATCCTGACCCAGCAGTTACGCTCCAAGCTGTTAATCAGTCCAGTATTGTTACATATGGAAGTAAACGAATGACTCTGGATTTTGGCCTGCAGAATACTTAAACTTGGTCGTTCATCATCGCAGACGTCCCATCCCCAATCCTTGGTATCGATTTTCTACAGCAACACAAACTGCTAGTTGATCCGATAAGCCCCAAGCTAATAGATTCGCTCAATAAAACGTACATTGCTGGTACGATTAGCCGCGCATCATCACTGAACTTGATGGTCACACGCACACCAGCATCTCCATATACCAATTTGGTAAATCAATTATCCAGGTACGATATTTTGCTAAAGAAATTTCCTGAACAGACACAGAGCGATTACTCCACAGCCTCTCTCAAACACAACGCAACACACCATATTGTAACTAAAGGTCCACCGGTCTCAGCAAAACCATGTCGTTTAGATCCAGCTAAAATGCAAATAGCAAAAGCAGAGTTCAACAGATTATTGGATCTAGGAATAATACGACAGTCAAACAGCCCGTGGTCATCACCACTGCATATGGTACCAATGAAAAACTCAACAGAGATACGACCATGTGGAGATTACCGAGCTTTAAATAAGCAGACGATAGCAGATAGATACCCAATTCCGCACATCTAAGATTTTTTCCATAACATGGCAGGTGCTCAGATATTTTCCAAAATTGACCTCGTTCGTGCATACTACCATATACCGGTCGAGACCAAGGACATCCCCAAAACGGCGGTAACCACTCCTTTTGGCTTATTCGAGTTCGTCCGCCTACCATTTGGCTTGACTAACGCAGCTCAAACATTTCAGAGATTCATTGACCAGGTATTGCATGGCCTCCCATTCACTTACGCTTATATCGATGATATACTGGTTGCAAGTAAATCCCCTGAGGAGCACCAACATCACTTAGAAACACTCTTTAAACGTTTAGCCGAATATGGAATTGTCATTAAACCAATTAAATGTGAATTCGGTAAGAAAACTATAAAATTTTTGGGACATCAGGTAGACAATCAAGGCATTCGACCAATAGCACAACAGCTGCAAGTCATAAAAGAATACCCGATTCCAGATTCCTTCAAAAAGTTACGCAGATTTCTTGGTCTCGTCAATTTTTTATCGCCGTTTCATTCCTCACTGTGCACAACTGGCGCAACCTCTGACAGATTTACTAAAAGGTCATGCAAAATCGCTGCACATGAGTACTTCAGCAATCGAGGCATTTGAAAAGCTGAAACAAACTCTAAGCTCAGAAACTTTACTAGTACGTCGTGACGTAAACGCTCCTATAGCGATTATGACAGATGCATCAGACGTCGCCGTCAGTGCAGTTCTTCAACAATTTTCTGCTGGGAAATGGCAACCTCTCTCCTTTTTCTCCAAACGTCTAGACGCCACTCAATCAAGATATA